CGTTTCAGAATTGTTTATATGTTGTTTATCTTATGTATAACTATACACTTAATATTCGAGGACTGTCAGATCATGTTTATCTAACGTATATTTACTGTATATCTAAACATATATTTGATGGGTATTAGATCGGAGCGAGTTATCCTTACTTCGTCTTCAACTTTGGAAGGTTTGGTCTCAACTTTATTTCGCTTTGTCATTGTTCTTCTCCGCTGAGAGATAACTTTTTTTTTGCATGAGAGATGAAGTTTTTTTTTTTTTTTTTTTGGAGGGATGAAGTCTATGCACTACACCCAAGATATGGAGAGAGAAATGATGATTTTTTTTTCTTTTTCTTTTTATTCGGTTGTGTGTAAAGATAGAATAGAAAATCAAGTTTCCCAAAAACATCATATAAGGAGATTTTAATTTTGTGTAGTTATTTGGTTATTTTTTAAACCGACACCAACATCAAACTTAATTATATATAATTAACTTCACTTAGCGGATTCTCTGGCCAAACTTAACCGCAATAAATATTACTATAATTATTAAATGGCGTAATTGTGATGAAAATTTTGTGAGATCGTAAAGTTGAAATTATTTAGGGGATGAAATATAAAGGGTGTAAATTTCTCAACTATAAACCATTCATAAATGAGTTATAAAATAACAATAAAAATTAATATTCTATTAAAAAACAATAATAAAAATAAACTAATATTAATTATTCATAAAAAGTATTTGGTGCAAATGTCTATAATCTTTTACATGCTTATCAAATTTTTGGATTTTTATTTTTATTTTTTGTAAAAATACGGTTATTAGAACTAAAATTATATAAATAAACTATTCATAAATGATCGGAAAATAATAAAAACTAATACAATTTAAAAAAATAACAAAACTAAACTAAATATCAATTATTCATAAACAGTAAAATTAATATATTTTGAAAAAAAAAATGGTAATATGCAAATAAAAAAAATCAAGTGAATGGTTAACTTTCCCAATAGACCTTTGTTGATTTAATAATTAATTTTTTTCTAATTTTTTTTTTTAGTACAGGGACCTTCCGGTTTCCAGATTCACAGGGGAACCGACTAATCCGGAATCGAGCCGGGTAGAATTTTTTTTTCTTATTTGTATATAAACATTTGCATGTGGCTTCCTGAAAAATGCATGACCACTCAAAGTAAGTTCATTGCATTTTGCAATCAAATAAAGCCCAAAAAGAAGAATTGATGGGCAGCAACATAGGCCCAGTAAGCACTATCTTTTATCTTTTAATCAATTTCCATTGGATATGATAGTGCAGGCATAATTTTCTCTTTTCCATTATATATATGAACCACCCTGAGTGAGACTTTGGCATATTTGACTTTGTTCCATAATATTATCAATTTATATTTTGGGATAGATGGTTAAGTTATTTAACTTACTAATATTGTGCTGAAGGATATTAAAAGCTTGTAGGCAGTGCTATGCACAGCCGGCCCACAACAACGTCCAAATTGAGAACAAAATAACTACGAAAAATTACCGAAATTATGTAGCTAAACTTTTGACTCTAACGGAAAAGCAACTCATGATAAGAACTGAGTGGACTCAGCAACTTCCGTCGCGATTTTCCATCCTGTGATCTAATTCAACGATCGCAATCTATTCAAATATACATTATAGACATGTAAGATTAATGCAGATCAAATGATTGGTGCATCAATGCATCATTCAAACATACCCAACCCAGTGGATTAGTACTAAGAAAAGATTTGAACAAGATTTTCAATTTGGGAAAGTAGAAAGAGATAAGGTAAAAGAAAAAATAAATAGATAAAAAGTGCTCCTTGTGAGATTAACAATTTCTCTCTCTAGAGACTTGGAAAGTTCCCGATAATGGGATCGATGCTCTCTGAAACAGCAAACTAGGGTTTTCTTGTTCTCCAATTGGGTTTTCTTTCTCCTTCTCAATCGTTCTTACCCGTTTTTCTTACTTTTCGCATTCTCCCATCCCCTCTCTGTTTTTGTCTTACTCGTTTATCGCCTAATCTTTCATTTTCTTCCATCTGTGGCTAGGGTTTTTAAAAGGGCTTTCAAGGAAAAATCTCATCAGAGCATTTGCACTTCGGAGTCCATTCTTAACGGGCCTTGCTTGTTCATTTCCTTGTTCAAGATGGATTCAGATCTAATCCACAGATTGCAGAGATTTGACCTTTCGGAAAAAGAGGAATCGGGCATCACACTATCTGAAGCAGATGTTGAAGTCGGTGTCATAGAATGCTCGTTGAGTCTGGTGGGTAAAATATATGGAGAAAAAAAGGTGCACTTTGGCGTGCTGAAAGAGACGCTCGGAACCATATGGAAAACAGACAAACCCTTCTCAGCTCGTCAACTTGGACAGAATCTCTTTCAATTCATATTCAAGTCCAAGGAAGATAAGCAGAAAATTCTTAGAGGGCGTTCCTGGAACTTCGATGGCCAATATCTTCTTCTGAAGGAATGGACTACATCTGTCTCAGACTGGAAGGAAGACGAAAAAGTAGACACTTGGATTCAAATCCACAATCTGCCATTGCACTGGGTCTCTC